CACACACACACAGGCCCCATGTCTACACACACGCACACACACACACACACACACACAGGCCCCATGTCTACACACATGCACACACACACACAGGCCCCATGTCTACACACAGGCACACACACACACACAGGCCCCGTGTCTACACATAGGCACACACAGGCACACACACAGGCCCCGTGTCTACACACGCGCGCACACACACACACACACACACGTAGGCATGCACCCGGCACACGCTAGTCCTTCCTCTCAGGCCCACCCGTGCCTGCCCAGACCCAGCGCTGTCGGAGGGGGCCCTGCTGGGCGCCGTCCTGTACACCATCCCCGGGTCCTCGTGCGCGGCTGAGACGTGCCGTTACTGTCATCCAATCTCCATGTGGGACCTGGGATCCGAGTCACCGAAGGTCGCGTCGCAGCCCTGGCCGCCCGCCCGGCGCCTGCCGAGCACGCCGTACACTGGCACGGACACACGCAGGACAGACTCCTCCTCGGCACGGCCACGTGTCGGCAGCCGCTCGGCCCCCACAGCCGCGCCGGCCCAGCGCGGTGACAGGCCCAGTGGGTGACAGGGGCACTCCTTTATTTGCACTTCCCCTCCGTTTGGCCTCCAGGCACCCTCTGCGGGGCAGGAGGGGCGGGGCGGGGCTGTCTCCTTCCCAAAGCTCCGGATGCTTCAAGGTGGAGGAGGAGAGGGCGGAGCCCTGGGCTCTATCCCAGCCTGTGTGCCGGGGTTAAGGTCAAGGTGACCTCTCCCAGGGCTGCCGGTCGGCTAGAGGGGACGGTCCACGGACAGGCCAGGCGTAGTGGGGCCAACCTCAGGTGCTGCCCCTGCGGCTGGGGGCTTGCCGCCTTGGATGCCGCACGGCCCTCTGTCCCTTCCCCGCCCCGGCCTGGGGCTGAGGGCACAGGCCAAGGTCCGACGTGCTGGACACAGGATTCTAGGCGGAGGAGACCCTCATGGCCACTTCAGGGAGAGGACGCTGGCCATGCTGTGGGGAACGAGGACCATGGGAAACAAGGACGGCTTCAGAACCGTGGGCACCGTCACGGGAGGAGGGGCCGCCAGGTCCCCGGAGTCCCCCAAAGTGGCTCAGCCCTGTGGGTGGCCCCGGGAGGTCATGGGGTCTATGGGCAGCAGGACAGGTCGCCCACTGGGCGGGGACTCTGGGACCTGAGGCTGGGCTGCCTCTGCGTGGTTGACCCTCCATGGAGAGGACGGACATGTGGCTCCGCGGGTCCCACTGGGCTCCTGACCTCCACCGCCAGGTGCCCAGGGTCGGCCGCGAGGCTGCAGCCTGCAGAGCTCGCCTGTGGCCCTGTCGCCCTGTCACCCACAGTGTGGCCCTGTGCTCTCCAACCAGGAGTGGCCAAGAGTGACGTCCTCGCTGCCATCTGCTCCTGTCCGAGGGGCTCTGGGCCCTCCCTCCCCCTGAGTCTCGGCCTTGCTCGGTCCAGAGGGCCGTGCCGGCCCCTGTCTGGGTGGCGGCTTCCCTCCGGTAGGACACGGCAGAGGTGGGTCAGAGGCTGCAAGTCTTTCCTCAGGCCAAACGCCGAGCGGCACCCCAGGACATGTGCAGGGAGGGGCCGCCATGGTCACAGCCCGGGAGCCGGCCCCCAGCGTCCGCCCCAGCCCAGGCCCGAGAGTCCTGGTCAGAGATGCCAGGGCAGCTGGTGGGCTCCGGGCCCCCTGGACACGGGCTCAGCTTTTGGGACGTGGGCCCGGCCTCCGCAGCCAGCGGGCGGGCGGCTGGTGGTCTGGACAGGACCTGCGGTCCCTGGGACGGAGGCCTGGCAGGGGCGGGGCCAGACCCTGCTGGAACCTTCTATACCAGGCGTGGCCTCTCCCCCAAAGGAAGTTCCCACGTGGCACCTGCCAGGGCCAACTGTAGCAAAGGGGACGGAAGCAGCTGGACACAGAGCCACCGCGGGGTGAGGGGAGACTCAGCAGTGTGTGGGGACGCAGGCGAGGGCCCTGGCACTGCCCCCCATGGCAGTGCGGGGGAGCAGGGCCCCTGAGCCCGGCCCAGCACCTGCCCTGTGCGCCCCGTACCCCAAAACTGCCACCTCCCCCAGACGCCCCGTCTCTGCCCCCACGGCGCTCTGCAGACACCGCCTGGGCGCTCCCTCTCGGCTTCCCTCACCCATCCGTTCATTCGCCACGCCGGCGCTCACACTGTGCCAGGGCTCTGGGCCCCAGGGGCCGGCGGAGAACACCCAGGCCACAGTCCCAGGCGGGAAGCCACCCAGATAAGCAGACAAGTATATGAAAGACCATTTCAGAGGGTGAGGCGCCCTGAAAAACAGCACCTGGGTATGGGGAAGAGAGACCAAGGGGAGGCACCTGTGCCCACGTGAGCCAGGCCAGGGGGGTCTCTGGGGAAGACGCGGAAGCTGCGATCTCAGGGGCAAGAAGCCAGCAGGAGGAGCTCCCGGCGAGGGCCTCCTGGCTGGGCAGCAGAAACAAAGGCACCAAGGCCTGTTGGGTTTTCTTGCCGGGGAAATAGGGAGCCAGCGAAGGTTGTAGGCAGGGAGGAGTATGACCTGGTACTGGACTGGAGGTGGCTGCAGAGGGGCCGGGGCAGGACCAGGATAGAGGAAGGACTGTGTCCCCACGCCATAGGCTCAGAGGGTCTGGGGAGACCCCTGCACTCTTCACGTAACCCCAGACACGGGCAGGACCCACAGTAGGGCAAGGCCTTGGGCGGGGGGTGGGTGTGAGCTCAGGCTGGACCTGCAGGGCCCAGTGGACCCCTGTGCTTGCCTGGGGCCAGGGTCGGCCTCTCCCTCTCAGAACTTGGCCCTCGGGGTTGCAGGCCCTGAGGGCTTGTGGGGCCCCTGCCCTGGAGGCCCAAGTACCTGGAGCCGAGCTCTGGGCCTCTGACCCCGTGTCGTCCCTGCGTTTACTGAGGCGCCCGACAGCCCCTTGTCCTCCCAGGGTCGGAGCAGCCATGCCAGGGACTGGGGGATGTGCCCGGCCAGCTCACAGGGGCTGCTGTGAGCCCTCCTGCCCAGGGTGAAGTCACCGCCTCCGCCCCACGGGCCTCAGCCGCCAGCCGACTCCGCCTGTGGTCCTGGGGCGCTCTCTGGTGGCCGACGGGCTGGACTAGCGAGGCCGCCGGAGTCCCCGACAGTGGGTCACAGGGCACAAGGCCCGGAGAGCCTGGGTCTCTTGATGAAGGCGCACACGGGAGCACCATCAGGTTCGGTCCCCTGGTGCGTCCCCCTCAACCTCCAGGAAGCTGGGCTGTTAGGATGCCCCTTTTACTGACCGAGAAACTGAGGCCTGGAGTGATTAAGGAGCCCAGGCGGGAGCCCAGGAGGCACACTCGGCCCCACGGGCACCCCGTCCTGCGCCGGCTGTGGGGCAGTCCTCATGCACACCCAGGGCGCTGGCCGCCGGCCCGATCCGGCCCACGCTTCTTCGCTTTCCAGGACAGAGGACACACTGTGGGGACAGTCCATGGGACAGTGGGGCCCAGTGCCCTGGCGTGGGACCTGCGCTCTCAGGGCAGCTACCTTTCCCACTTGCTGGGGAAACTGAGGCAAAGAACCCCGTCCAATCACATGTCAGAGTGTGACGCTAGCTGCACTCGGCCCGGGCCTCAGGCCACCCTGCGGCCATCGCCCACGGAGGAGCAGCCCGTGCCCCGCCGCCTCCCTGTAGACTGGATGTGCCCTTGGGCATGGGGCCGATCAAGCCTGAGCAAGGGTTGGGCTCCTCGGTGGGGCCTGTGGGGACAGCGGGCCTGTGGGCCAGTCGTGCCGAGAAGGCCGAGTGGTGCCCTGTGTCTGCTCACGGCCAGCTCCATGGGGCTGGCGTTGGCCGCCCAGGTGCCAGGCGAGCAGGGCGGGGAGGAGGAGGAGCCGAGGGCCGGGCTCACAGGCGCTCCGCGCGGGCGGCAGACGCTGCCCTGCTCCCTGGCCCGCGGCCGCACGTCAGGGTGCCGGAGAGAAGGCGCACAGGTAGGCCCCATGCCACCGCCAGCTCTAGGACGCGCCCCTCCTCCCCAGGGCGGGAAGGGCAGGTGGACAGGAGGGGCCGGGGACCAGGACCTCGTGGGGGAATCCTGCCTTCCCGGGGCTGTGCAGGGACAGGGACAGCTCAGGCCTGGGTGAGGTGGGGCTTTCTGGAAGGGGCTGCAGAGGGCCTGGGGAGGGTCTGGGCAGGAGGGAGCCTGGACAGGGAGGTGGGGCCATGGGAGGGAACGTGGGGCCCCTGGTCACTGCTGTGCCCGTCGCCCTCCCTGGCTTGCGAGCTCAGGGGACCAGGGCACAAAGCTGACTTCCCACCCGCTGCGTGCAGGGACCTTTCCGGCACCTTCTCCCCGTTACCGCCCGTTTACCTGGCTCTCAGGGATGAGGCCGGCCCAGGGATTCTGAGGGACCTGCCCAAAGCCACCCAGCTGGGGGACGAGCTGGCTGGGACTCTGCCCGGGGAGCCACATTCGGCTCCAGCTGTTTCTGTGAGGGCCTCTGGCGGGCGGGCGCACGCGTCTGCCTCGGTCCTGCTTCTTGGGAGGTTGGGATGGGATTCTGGCCCGGGTCACACAGGACCCCCACGGCCCCCAGCTCCCCCCCCCAGAGATGGGGGAGCAGCAAGGACCAGGCACCTGCCATGCAAATCGGGGCCGTTTGCATACCCCTGGTGGCCCCATTTGCCTGGCGCCTGGCACCTTCCCCAACGCCCAAGTGGGTTGGGCCCTGGCACCGCGCTGGGCCCCGGGGAAGGTGAGGCTGCCCCTGCCGCTGCTGCTCTTCCCAGGGCCCAGCCCCACCCCCACCCCCATCCTGTCAGGGAGGAAAGAGGCGAGAGGCCGTGGGAGACCCAGGGGGACGGCTGGTGGCTGCTTCCCGCTCCAAGAGCCGCTGCTCCTCCAGGGGCCTTGACAGAGGGGAGGCCCCTCTGAGCCCCAGGCAGAGATGCTCACCGGGGTCTGGGCCTTGGGGAGGAGCGGAGTTTCAGGGGCCGGGCCCCCACCGGCTTCCCCACCAGAGGTGGGGGACAAGAGTGAGGTCCCCATCTCTGGCCTGCGGCATGTGGGGTAGGCGAGGATGTCATTGTTGTCCGGGGCGGCCCGTTCCCCAGGCCGAGGGGCACAGCTGGGCTCAGGCCCCCAAACCCCCACTCCCCAGGCAAGGAGACACATCCAGACACGCACCTCCCTGCTGCAGGGCGTGTGTCCAGGTGTGGCAAGCGATGGCCCTGCTGGGTGGCAGGCATGACGGGCCCTGGTGGCAGTGAGGGCCAAGCCGAGCTGCGGGGCCCTCGGCCCCCACCCCTCCCCCGCCCGCCGACAGGGCAGACACCCCGAGTGCCTACTCTGCACTGAGCAGTGTCCCCCTAGACGGTGGGGCAGGGTCCACCGAGAGCCTCGGAACGTGATCTTCTTTGGAAGCAGGGTCTTTGCAGATGTGATCTGCAGCGGTGGCCACGCTAGGCAGGCCCGGCGGCCGGCATCCTCACGAGAAGAGGGAGGCCACATGACAGCCGAGGCAGAGGCCACATGCCAAGGGACGCCTGGAGCCACCAGAGCAGGAAGAGGCCAGGAAGGTGCTCCCCTGAGATGTGGAGGGAGCACAGGTTGCCCACACCTGGACTTTGGACCTCCGGCCTCCTCCGCGGTCGCTTTGCAGCCCCTGGTTTGAGGTCCCTGGTCTCTGCAGTCAGGGGACACCAACACACTGCGTGTCCCGCCCTCCCAGCCCCGAGCCGAGCCGCAGCCAGGCGGGCCTGCAGACACCAGCTTCCAAAACCGAGAGGCCAGCCACCTCCCGGGAGGCCACATGCAAATGCCGCCTTCTTCGGAAAGTGCAGGGGGATTTGCATCCCTCCGCAGCCAGCTCTCAGGCTCCCTGGGGTGGTGCTGCCTGCGGCCACATGGCCACACTCACCTGCCCTGGGCCCCATGCAGGCACACGCTTGCTGCCCCACTGGGCCCCAAACTGCATGGGTGTCCGGGGGCTGCTGGAGCAAGTGGCCGCACGCTGGGCATCTTGAACCGATAGGAATCTGTTCTCGCCCCGACCCGGGGTGCCCCGTCCTGCCAGGTGTGGGCCCGGCCGGGCTCCCAGAGCTGTCGGGTGGCCCCTCCCGGCCTCTCCTGCTTGTGGTGTCACTGCCTCTGCTGCCTCTGGCCCCACGCGCATCTGTCCCCTGCCCTCGAGTCACCTTCCCTCTGTGTGTCTGTGTCCCAGTGTCCCCTTTTTGTAAGGACAGCAGCTGTGGGGTCTGGGCCCAGCCTACTCAGCAAGGCCTCGTCTTAACCGGCATCACAATCACCTCTGCAAAGACCCTGTTTCCAAAGAAGGTCGCAGGCACAGGCGCCAGGGGCTAGGACTCGGACGTATCTTTTTGGGGGACACCTTCTTTCGGGGGACGCAGTTACTGTGCTGGCTCCAGAGGCACAGTGGGGAGGGCCCCGGCTCAGCCCCTGCCCCCAGGCCGGCCCCTGTCCTGCCAGAGGCACCCGCCCCTTCCCCGTCCCCGCCGTGTGCACAGGTGCCGCCCTCTGTAAGGAACAAAGCATGTTCCAAAGCGCCCATTCTCCGCTCACACGGGGCCCGTGTGTGGCCCGGCACTGCCCCGGGACAGGGAAATAGCTCTACGCAAGTGGGAGCGGCAGGTAGCCCCAGGTGGACAGGGTGGTGGGAGCCCAAGGGGTGCGTCCTGCCTGAGCAGGCCCCAGGGGACCTCTGCCCGGAGGCCTGTGGCAGGCGCCGGGTTCTAGGCAGGCGGACGGAGGACAGGCCCAGCCCCAGCGGGTTTTCAGAGGCACTGATCGGAGGGAGGCAGGACGCGGCCGGGCCATGGTCAGCAAGGCCTGTGCCGGGCAGCTGGGAGGCTTCGGGTACCGGGCCGGGGAGGGCTGTGTTCCTCCCCCCGCCGGCCCTTGGGTCCCTGCCACGGACAGCAGGGCTGAGACGCCCGACCTCAGGGACGGTGGGAGGTAGTGTGGTGGCCTCTTCTCCTGCCACTCGCTGAAGCAGGAGCTCACGGGAAGAGCGTGGCGGTGGCGCTGCGGCGATGCTGTGTGAGCCGGGGCAGGCGCTCCCCGCGCTGGGCACCTGGGCCCACCTGGGCAAGGAGGGATGGTCCTGCCCCTCCTCCACCCGTCTTCCCAGGGCCCCTGCACCTGAGCTGGTGCACCAGCCTCACCTTGTCACCTGCCTGCCAGGCACACCCAGGGTGTTCTGGGGGCGGGTGGGCTGCGTGGCCAAAAGGCTACAAATGCCTGCTAAGTCTTTCGGGGTTTCCAGGACAACCCCACCTTCAGAGGACAGTGGACGGGAGAGGTCAGCCCGAGGCGGCTGGGCTGGGGTAAGTGGCAGGACCAGGAGCCTGGACATGCCCCATCCTCGCCTGAAAAGGGGCGTGGTGAGCACTGCTGGGGTGGGGTGGGGCTGCCTAGAGGGACGGCCACTGGGGCAGAGACACCCTTGTGGGGGTCTCCAACTTGGGGACCCCGATCCTGCCAGCATGTTGGCTGGGGAGAGGGGCTCCTTTGTGACGGCAGCACCAGCCCCAGCAGTGAGGGAGGTAGGGATCGGGTTCTCCTGCCCTCAGGGTTTGGCTGTGTCCCCGCAGAGAGGCCGCCATGCAGGATGCCCGGGGCTCCTGTCCCGGCAGCCCCAGGGACGCTGCAGATGGGCAGGGGCCAGGCCTGTGCCGGGGCGAGATCAACTTCGGAGGGTCTGGGAAGAAGCGAGGCAAGGTAGGGGCGTCCAGGCCCTGCGTGACACCCGGTGTGTGTACCCCAAAGCCTTGGGTTCTGGACGCTGAGCGCCATGGGCTCTCTCTCCCCGGGCCCTGCTCCCTCGGGCCATGCTCAGAGCCCCACGTGGCAGGAATCAGCCGGAGGCCTCTGGCCGCACCTCCTACCCCCTGCAGTAACTAGAGCCCCCGCGTCCACTGGGGAGGTCTGGGAGGCGCCTGGGTCAGCACCCCCGTCTCTCCGAAGGGCAAGCCAGGCCCCGAGAGAAGCTGGGACTGCCCAGGCCACACGCGGGTCAAGGCAGGACCAGCCCTGTTCCAAAAAGGTCCTGGGGGCCTCTGCCCTCCTGCTGCCCCGCACCCTGAGCCTGCGCCCCTGCCCCACAGTTCGTGAAGGTGCCAAGCAGCGTGGCCCCCTCTGTGCTGTTCGACCTGCTGCTGACCAAGTGGCACCTGCCGGCCCCCAACCTGGTGGTGTCCCTGGTGGGCGAGGAGCGGCCCTTCGCCATGAAGTCCTGGCTGCGGGACGTGCTGCGCAAGGCGCTGGTGAAGGCGGCCCAGACCACGGGTGAGGCCCACCGCTCCCCGCCGGCTGCCTGCTCCGCAGCGGAAGCAGCTCTTGGGGACGCTGTGTAGCCCTAGCGGGGGCCTAGGGCCTCGCTGATGGGTCCGACCACCCTGTGGGCAGAGGCCCAGCCCTTCCTGACAGCCGCCCCGCCACTCGCGGGCTCCAGCGCCGAGCGCATGCAGGGCAGGGCCCCACGGTGCCCTCGCCGCGCGCGCAGAGCCGTCTGGCCGGCCAGTCCCGGGGCTCAGGCCCTATCCTGGGGCGGCCTCTGCCTGCAGAAAGCCCAGGGGAAGGGTTCGGGGCTTCTGCATCCGTTACCGCAGAAATGATTGCAGCAAGAAAAAAGATTCTCAAACCAGACACGGGCTGAGGGCTTCGTCATTTGGAAAAACCAGTCCGGGATTCCGGTCCAGCTGTGACGGGATTTGTCCCGTGGGGGAGCTGGCTCCCAGCATGTGCCCTTCAGGCCAGGCTGGGGCTGCCACTTCACCCGGCCTGGGGACCTGGGTTTGGGGTCCAGCCAGTCCCAGCTGCGGCGTGGCCTGGGCGGGTGCCGCGCCATCTCTGAGCCTTGGCCCTCCTCCCCCGTGCCCAAGCCCTCGTCCCCGGTCACCGGCTGCTGACTGGCCTGGGGGTCAGGGCCAGCTGGGCAGGACCCGGGGCCCTGGCTGGACGAGTGTCCCCCCGTCCTGCCCCACAGGGGCCTGGATCCTGACCAGCGCCCTCCGCGTGGGCTCCGCCTGGCACATCGGGCAGGCTGTGCGCGACCACTCGCTGGCCAGCACGTCCACCAAGGTGCGCGTGGTCGCCATTGGCATTGCCTCTCTGGGCCGCGTCCTGCACCGCCGGCTCCTGGAGGACGCCCAGGTGAGCGTCTGGCTCTGCTCGCCGCGTCCTCTGGGACAGCTGGGCCTGGGAGGCAGGAAGGGCCGGGGCAGAGCAGCCCCTGCCCTCAGGGCTCACGTCACTGTTTCAGGGGCGTCACCGGGGTGGGCAGCGGCTCTGAGGACTGAGGTTGCAGGGCAAGTGCTGGGAGGACAGGCCTGGACAGGCGGCCAGCAGGTGGCGGCATTGCTCAGGGAGCTCTGGGCGCAGCCCCACGTGGAGAACCCGCCTGACCAGGGGGCCCAGCCCAGCGTGGCCAGCGCCCCCCGAGCTTTGCGCAGCCCGGTCCTCCCTACGCCCCAGCTGGGGGTCTGTCCACGGCAGGCCCTGCAGAGTCTAGAAGGAGGAGATCCCGCCCAGCCCTGTCCCTGACTGGGGAGGGCCCCCCACCCCAGCAGCCCCGGCCTCCCCCATCCCGGGGGTGGGGAAACAGAGGCCTAGGCAGAAGCCCTGCCAGGGCCTCAGGCCTGTGTGCATGGCGTGGTGGGAGGGTCCCACGGGGAGCCCGGCCTGGGCTGCCCGCTGAGGGCTCTGCCTTGTCTCCCCCGCGGGCGCAGGAGGACATCCCCGCCCACTACCCTGCAGAGGACGGTGGCAGCAGCCAGGGCCCCCTCTGTCCCCTGGACAGCAACCTCTCCCACTTCATCCTGGTGGAGCCGGGGCCCCCCGGGAAGGAGGACGGGCTGACGGGGCTGCGGCTGCGGCTGGAGAAGCACATCTCGGAGCAGAGGACGGGCTACGGAGGTGAGGCCCGCCCTGGCTGCCCAGGAGGCTGCCCGTGGCCCCCTGCCCTTGCCTCGAGACCCAGGGAGCTGCAGGGACCCGGCATGTGGGTGGGGGCGGGGAGGGACCACCAGGGAGTGTGGGGAAGCGCCTCCCAGGCAGAAGGCGCGCAGCACACCTGCACTTTGAGACCGGGGGCCCTAGCAGGAGCAGCCGTCCACGCAGGGGCAGCAGAGGGGGCGCAGCTCGTTTTCACTGGGCGCCCCCCAGCCAGAGGCTCTGGGCTCTGGGAAGCAAAATGAGATCTGTGGGTTGCATGAGGCTCATTTCCTTCCACGGGCCACGAGGCAGGCCGCCACCAGGGGGCAGCGCTGCCCGAGACACGGGCGCCCAGTGGGCAGCTGCGGGTTTGAAGGCTGGATTCACTCAGAGAGTACTGGTGTGCAAATACTGTCTATAACAAGACGTATGACGGCTTATGAACCAGAGAAAGTATTTGTAAACAAAAAACGTAATTCCTCGGCAAGGCCAACTGAGCGCTCTTCCGAGATGAAACGTAAAGTCACGTAAGTCCATCAACACGTAGGAGGACGGCCCGCTCTGCCCACCCCGCGGGCCCAGGCTCCAGCGTGGCCAACCCTGGCGGATCCTCCAGATTCACAGTCGCCGCCGGAGGTCGGGTCCCCCCCGGGCGGTTCTGCTGCCACTCTCGTTCCCTCCAGGGCGACCGGGGTGGGTCCGGCCCTCTCGGGGGCTTTGCACACAGAACTCTCGCTTCCAGCTTCCGTCTGGGGGGAGCCTGCACCCTCCTTTAGCTCTCGGTTCGCTCTGCGCATCTCTCCGATCTGGAGCAGCCCGTCCAGCAGAACCGCCGTGACGCCGGGGCGCCACCTCCACACCGTCCGCACCGTCCGGGGTGTGGCCGAGGGGCTGGGTGTCCCACGTTATTGATGTCGTTTTATGTCTAAATAGCTGCGTGCCATCCTTGCCACAAGGCCACCAATTGAACGGCGCCGATGGAGAATTGAAGTCCTTGCCTCCCATGTGCCCGGGGGTTTCTAAAAGTGGCCCCTTGACCAGCCTCTGCCCAGAAACTGTGGCAGCTGGGGGCCCAGGGTCCCCGGCCCGTCCCCGCCCCCATCCCACTCACCCCGAGCACCTGGAGGGAAGTCACAGGGCGCTCTGTCCGCAGGCACCGGCAGCATCGAGATCCCCGTCCTTTGCCTACTGGTCAACGGTGACCCTGGCGCCCTGGAGGTAGGGGCGGAGGAGCGAGGCGGGGGCCTGGCGGGAGCCTCCTGGAGGGGCGTGATGGGGTCGCCCGACACATGCACCTGGAAGTCACCTGGGCTGACCGGAGTCACTGTCCGCTCCCCGCCACGGCAGAGGGTTTCCCGGGCCGTGGAGCAGGCTGCGCCGTGGCTGATCCTGGCGGGCTCCGGGGGAGTGGCCGACGTGCTCGCCGCCCTGGTGAGCCAGCCCCACCCCCTGGTGCCCCAGGTGGTGGAGAAGCAGTTTAAGGAGAAGTTCCCCAGCGAGCGTTTCTCCTGGGAGGACATCGTGCACTGGACCAAGCTGGTAGGCTCCGCCAGACCTGCCCTGCGTCCTCCTGGGCCCTCCTCCTGGGGGGGCTGCTCCCCCGGGGGCTTCCTGCCAATGCAGCCGCTGCGTCCCCCATGCCAGCTGCAGAACATCACCGCGCACCCGCACCTGCTCACCGTGCACGACTTCGAGCAGGAGGGCTCCGAGGAGCTGGACACTGTCATCCTCAAGGCTCTGGTGAAAGGTAGGCGCTGAGCAGCGTGGTGGCACCCGGCAGGTTCTGTGCTCTGAGCCACCTGGGGTGTGGCGGCCTGGCCGCCATTTATGACGGGCGCCCGCGTGACCTGTCCCAGGGAAGACAACACCCAACTTCATGACATGTCCTGCATTTGGCAAATCTCATGATACATGTTTTTTCACCATAATTTTAAAGTATTTTTTTTTTTTTTTTGAGACAGTCTCACTCTGTTGCCCGGGCTAGAGTGCCGTGGCGTCAGCCTAGCTCACAGCAACCTCAAACTCCTGGGCTCAAGCGATCCTCCTGCCTCAGCCTCCCGAGTAGCTGGGACTACAGGCATGCGCCACCATGCCCGGCTAATTTTTTCTATATATTTTTAGTTGTCCGATTAATTTCTTTCTATTTTCAATAGAGACGGGGTCTCGCTCTTGCTCAGGCTGGTTTTGAACTGCTGAGCTCAAACAATCCGCCCGCCTCGGCCTCCCAGAGTGCTAGGATTATAGGCGTGAGCCACTGCGCCCGGCCTGAAGTATTTTTAAAGCATTTAATTCAGTGGTTCTAGCATGTTCATGGGGTGGTGTGACTGTCGCTATTACCTAATCCCAGAGCATTCCCAGCACCACGGAGAGCCTGTGCCACTTAGCGCCCCCGGCCCCCCAGCCCACTGTCCTCTCGGTCCGCGTGGACTCACACAGCCGCGCAAAGACGCGTCGTGCTGGTCACTCAGCGCCCTGTTTCCGAGCCTCGTCCGTGCCGCAGCCTGTGGCAGAGCCTCTGTCCTTTCTGAAGGCCACGCGAGCCACTGTGTGGACAGAGCGGTTCGTCCACGCGGCGCTGATGGAAACTGACTAGCATCCGATGCGCTTTCATTGGAGACGGGCGTGCTCCGAGGGCCGACCCGTGGCGGCGGACACGGGGCCATGGCGGGGGCCAGGGCTGGTGGAGCGAGGGCTGGGACGCACCTGAGCGAGGGGCCCTCTGCAGTGCGGGGGTTCTGGGTTAGGACCCCCGGGCAATGATCCTCGGGGAGCCCCTGTGCAGGAGCCCCCTCGTGGTGTCCCACGAGCCGGGCTGGTCCCACGGGCTGGGAGGGGCACCGCGGTCTCACGGCGCTCACGGTCGTGGAGTCTGAGGCCCGCGGGCTTCCCTCACGGGTCTGGCGAGGACAGCGGCCTCCATGTCTAGCCCACGCCTCGTCGAGCGGCCCTGCAGCACGCAGCTGTGGCCAGGTGCCCTTCCCCAAGGAGGAAACGTGACCAAACCCGCTTCCCCGAACCGTCCGTGGAAGGGGCCCAGGCCTGGGAGTTAGCTGGGGTCCCTTCAGTCACCACCAAGGGAGCTTCTGAGAGGCTGCCCTGCCCCCTGACCCCTCCCAGCGGGGACTCTGGCACCCACCCGCAAAGCTGTGCCTCTCGCCAGCCTGCCGAGGTGTGGAGCTCCGGGCCTGCGTGTCCAGAAGGCCCCTCCCTCACCGCCCCTGCCCGCTCCGCCCGCAGCCTGCAAGAGCCACAGCCAAGAGGCACAGGACTACCTGGATGAGCTCAAGCTGGCCGTGGCCTGGGACCGCGTGGACATCGCCAAGAGCGAGATCTTCAACGGGGACGTGGAGTGGAAGGTGCCGCCCCGACCCCATCTGCCCAGCCTGTGGCTGCCCCCCGAGCCCTGACTGTGGCCAGCAGGGGCCCATCCAGCGGCCGTGCCAAGGGCCTGAGGCAGGTCGTGTCCCGAGGGGGTGTGATGAGGCCACAGCACCGCTGAGCTTCTGCCTCTCTCATCAGCCAGGCAGAGCGGGCTGGGTCACCCTTGGGTGTGGGCCACCCCCAAAGCCTCAGGAGTCACGGTGCCCTCGGTGTCCCCCAGACTGTCAGGATTCACCTGTGCCTGCCGTGGCCCAGGGGCACAGGCTGGGTGCCCGGGGAGCGGGTCGGCGTGGCCTGGCCCTGGGCAGAGGCCCCTGCGCCCCCGTGGCCACCCCCTTCCCCACCAGCTCCGACTCACTGTCACTGTCGCCCCTTCCCTGGGGCGTGCCCCTCGGCTGTCCAGTCCCGTGACCTGGAGGAGGTGATGATGGACGCCCTGGTCAGCAACAAGCCTGAGTTTGTGCGGCTCTTCGTGGACAACGGCGCCGACGTGGCCGACTTCCTGACGTACGGGCGGCTGCAGCAGCTGTACCGCTCCGTGGCCCCCAAGAGCCTGCTGTTCGACCTGCTGCAACGCAAGCACGAGGAGGCCCGGCGGACGCTGGCCGGCCTGGGCACGCAGCCGCCCCGGGAGCCACCCGCCGGGCCGCCCGCCTTCTCCCTGCACGAGGTCTCGCGCGTGCTCAAGGACTTCCTGCGGGACGCCTGCCGCGGCCTCTACCAGGACGGCGGGCCAGGGAGCCGGAGGAAGGTGGTGAGCGGGGGCTGGGTGAGGGGCTGGGCCAGGGCCACAGCTGGAGCCGACAGCCATGTCCTCCAGGAGAGGGGTCCGGCCAAGCGGCCCACAGGCCAGAAGTGGCTGCCGGACCTTGGCCAGAGGAGCGAGCAGCCCTGGAGGGACCTGTTCCTGTGGGCCGTGCTACAGAACCGCCACGAGATGGCCACCTACTTCTGGGCCATGGTGAGCGGCAGCCCTGGCCCCTGGGGGAGGTGGGGGGAGGTGGGCAGCCCCTGAGACCCCGTCTCCTAGGGTCAGGAGGGTGTGGCAGCCGCTCTGGCCGCCTGTAAAATCCTCAAAGAGATGTCCCACCTGGAGCCGGAGGCCGAGGTGGCCCGGGCCATGCGTGAGGCCAAGTATGAGCAGCTGGCCCTCGGTGAGTGGACGCCCGGTGGCCGGGGCCGTGCCGTGGGGAAGAGGGTGAAGGGGCCAGTCCGAGCGGCGGGGCTCCCCTCCAGGCCACCGCTCCCGTTGCGTGGCCCAGTGTGACCTCAGCGGTCCCTCTGTAGAATGGGTGGGGGGGCCTCGAGCCGCGAGCAGGAGGGACACGCAGCCTTGCGCCTCCGGAGTGCACTGGGCCCTGGTGGGGACATTCAGAGTGACAGAGCCTCCCGTGGTCCTGCAGGGGAGCGCAGCCCAGAGCAGTCCACGGGGCTGTCAGCGGCCTGCCGTGCAGAGGCCTGGCTGCCCCTGGGCGGGGGCCTCGGGCTCCGGGCGGAGGAGGGAGGGCGGGCGCAGGGTGCCGGGGCGAGTCCCATCCAGCGGCCAGGCCCCGCGGGCAGACCTGTTCTCCGAGTGCTACAGCAACAGCGAGGACCGTGCCTTTGCCCTGCTGGTGCGGCGGAACCGCTGTTGGAGCAGGACCACCTGCCTGCACCTGGCCACGGAGGCCGACACCAAGGCCTTCTTTGCCCATGACGGCGTGCAGGTGGGTGCTGGCCGCGCAGGGCCCTGGTCGCCCTGGTCAGAGTCTGAACCCTCGGGGAGGGCCGGCTGCCAGGGGTGAGGCGGGCGGGCGAGCAGGGCCCGGGCCACCCCTGGCCAGTGAGGCGCCCAGCTGACCGCCAGCCTGCAGCCTCTGGCTCCCCTGTGCCTGCCGTGTGGGGGAGGGGCGGGGCCTCCCCACGGGGCACACGCGTCCTGCCCAGCCCTGCCTGCCCCTTGGAGAAGGCTCACGTGGCAGCGACACCCATCCTCCTGCGACTGGCTCCTTCGCCGTCCTGCGCAGCGGTGGGAGGGCTGGCAGGGGCGCGTCTTCAGATCACCCCGTGGAGCAGCTGGCACTTGCCAGGCGCTGGGGAAGGGCGTTCCTGGCGCAGGGCGCAGCGTGGGCAAAGGTGGCGGTGGGAGGCCAGCAGGCGCGTCTCTGTCTCAGGCCTTCCTGACCAAGATCTGGTGGGGGGACATGGCCACCGGCACACCCATCCTGCGGCTGCTGGGCGCCTTCTTCTGCCCGCCGCTCGTCTACACCAGCCTCATCACCTTCCGGTAGGTCGTGCCCGGGCCCCGCTGCTGCTGGTGGCTGCGTATCTCTGGTGGCGCGTGTCTCTGGTGGCGCGTGTCTCTGGTGGCCGCGTGTCTCTGGGACCCGTGAGTCCAGAATCCCCGTGGGCCCCGCTGCTGCTGGTGGCCACGTGTCTCTGGTGGCCGCGTGTCTCTGGTGGCGCGTGTCTCTGGTGGCCGCGTGTCTCTGTGTCTCTGGTGGCCGCGTGTCTCTGGGACCCCCGAGTCCAGAATCCCCGTGGGTCCTGCTGCCCACAGCCCGTGCGTGCAGCTGGGCACTTTGGCCTCCGTCCTTCTCAGTGCGCGGGACCAAGCGGGTGCCCCCGGGTGCCCTTCCTGCGGGCCTTGAGCGTTCCCTGTGCCCGCAGCGAGGAGGCCCCTCTGCGGACCGGCCCGGAGGACCTGCAGGAGCTGGACGGCCTGGGCGCGGAGAACAGCCCGCTGTGCGGCCCAGGCAGCCTGTGAGGGGCCCGGGGGGCTGGGCAGGGTGGCGGCCGGGGGCTGGTGGCCGGGAGGCTGGACCCCGGTGGGGCACCTGCTGGGTGCGGCCTCGTCACTGTGGCCTCCTGCACGGCACAGGGTGGAGGAGCTGGCGGAGGCGCCGAGGGCTCAGGGTGACCGAGGCCCACACGTGGCCTTCCTGCTCACGCGCTGGCGGAAGTTCTGGGGCGCTCCCGTGACCGTGTTTCTGGGGAACGTGGTCATGTACTTCGCCTTCCTCTTCCTGTTCACCTACGTCCTGCTGGTGGACTTCAGGCCGCCCTCCCAGGGGCCTTCGGTGGCTGAGGTCACCCTGTACTTCTGGGTCTTCACGCTGGTGCTGGAGGAGATCCGGCAGGTCAGGAGCCAGCCCGGCCCGTTCCCTCTGTTCCGCGGCTCCAGGTGGGGAGAACCAGGGGGTCCTGCCCTCTTGGGGCTGTGGCTCCTCATCTGCAGAACCAGAACAGCATCTCCAGAGCCTTGATCCTGGTCACAGACTGAGCCCTGATCCCAGCCCCATCCCAGACTGAGCCCTGATCCCAGCCCAACCCCAGACTGAGCCCTGATCCCATCCCCACCCCAGGCTGAGCCCTGATCCCAGCCCAACCCCAGACTGAGCCCTGATCCCAGCTCCACACTAAGCATGACCATCGTCTCTCTAGTCAGAGTCTGAACCTTGACCTGTATCATAGCCCAAGTCCAGACACTGAACATAAACTAATCCTGGACCCTGGTCACAGAGAGCACTGACCCCAAGTTCAGATTAACCCCAGGTTTTGTCCCCAGACTTATCCCTGGGATATCTTCAGTTGACCCCCAATCCTACTCAGAGCCTGGCTCCTGGTCACAGATGGAACCTGACCCCCATGACAGGCTGAGCACTGATCCTCACAGAGCCTAGGCGGGGTGGGCGGGGGTGTCCAGTGAGGGGCCCAGGCAGCTGGAGCAGGAGCGTCCGCCTCTCCGCCAGGGCTTCTTCACGGATGAGGACACACACCTGCTAAAGAAATTCACGCTGTACGTGGAGGACAACTGGAACAAATGTGACATGGTGGCCATCTTCCTGTTCATCATTGGTGTCACCTGCAGGTCTGTGGGGCCCAGGGGCCCTGTCCTCAGGAGGGTGTGTGGGCAGGCGTCCAGATGAGGCCACTTGGAACCTCAGAGGTCTTGGCTCGGCCCTGGCACCTGCCCTTTGGCCAGAGCAGTGCTCCTCCCCTCTCTGGGCTCCGGCCGTCCCGTCCAGCCTGCTGCCCCTTCCAGGATGCTGCCCTCAGTGTTCGAGGCTGGGCGCTCGGTCCTGGCCATGGATTTCATGGTGTTCACGCTCCGGCTCATCCACATCTTCGCCATACACAAGCAGCTGGGCCCCAAGATCATCATCGTGGAGCGCATGGTGAGCCCCCATCCCCCGGGTAGGTAGTGAGCCCCTCTGTCCCCCCACTGTCCCCCCAGGTGGGTAGTGAGCCTCTCTGTCCCCCCACTGTCCCCCCAGGTGGGTGGTGAGCCCCTCTGTCCTCCCAGGTGGGTAGTGAGCCACCCACCAAGGGGCTGCTAACGGCCCTCTCCCTGCCCTGGCCCCATGGAGATGAAGGACGTCTTCTTCTTCCTCTTCTTCCTGAGCGTGTGGCTCGTGGCCTACGGCGTGACCACCCAGGCACTGCTGCACCCCCACGACAGCCGCCTGGAGTGGATCTTCCGCCGCGTGCTGTACCGGCCCTACCTGCAGATCTTCGGGCAGATCCCGCTGGACGAGATCGACGGTTCGCATCTGGCCAGGCGGGCGCGGGGCGGCAGGGACCCCCCCAGGTGCAACCAAAGGGAGTCCGGTTTTTCCAAGTCCCTGGGTACGCAGCTCTGCAGAGGGGCCTGTTGGGATCACGGGAGACCCCAGCCTGGAGCTGAGACGGGAGGAGTCCCTGAGGCCAGGCCCAGACTCAGGGACAGGGTTAGCTCAGACACGGAGCCTCCGACCTCAGGAACCAGACACAGGAGACCTCGAGGCGGCGGGGGTGGCCGTGGGCTCAGAGGCCTTGCTGGGGACCATGTGGGACGGGGGATGGGCAGGCGCTACAGGCACAGAGCAGGGGTGTCGGGGAGACCATCACCTGGTGTCCGGGCCCCTCTGGCCTGGCCTCAACCCTCCTGCAAGGCCCTGCATGGCTGAGTGTCCCTGTCACCCACCCTCCTGAGGCCTGTCAGCTGTGAGGCCACCCTGCAGGTGCCCTTGCTTCTTCTGGGGACCCACCCACCGTGCATGCGCTACCTGTGGGCCGCAGGCGTGTGGGGCCTGTCTGCGGCTGTGGGGGCCCCAAGCTGGCTGTACCTGGTGGGGGCTGGCGGAGGCTCCAGGAACTTTCCACAAGTGGGTTTGGGGGTTCAGAGCCACTAGGCCATGGGGCTCTCAGTGGTGACGGGGTCCCTGCAGGCCTTGGGGTGGCAGGATCCAGGGAGATGCAGGAGAGGGCACCGCCTCGGGGAAGGCGGGCCAGAGTGCGGGGCTCAGGGATGCTAGCCCCGCGGGCTGCTCCCGGGGTGCTCCAGGCTTAGTGGCAGCACAGAGCAGGGCCATAGGGAAGTGGTGGCAAAGCGAGCTGCGCGGCCTGACCCGACCCTCCCGGAGGAGCCACGGGCGAGGCCGGGGCAGCGCTCGACTGGGACAAACACCTGTGATGGGCTGACCGAACACAGGCCCCAGGGGCCGGAGATGAGGGTGTTCGGGGAGGGGTGCTCCCCATTTCCCTGGGCCGTTCCCTTAGCCCCAGCGCCTGTGTTTTTGGCCTTTGCGCATCAGTTTTCCAGGCCCTGCGCCCTCTCCTCCTCCCCTCACTGCGCAGGGCAGGGTTGGGGGCCCCCTTCCCACGTGGCTGCATCTCTGGCCCGGCCAGCCCCAGCCACTAGTGTGAGGGGACAGGCCTGGTCACAGCCGAGACCTCCCTGGAGGACCTGCAGACTTCCCCGGGGCCCCCGCCTGAGGGCTGCCTCGGGGTCCACAGTGCTGCAGCGGCCAGTCCTGCAGGGGGAAGCCCGTGGCCAGGGCCAGCGCCTGCTCGAGTCCTTGTCCACGTCACCTCGCTTCTCTGGGCCCTTCTCTGTGAGGCCACTATGCTGCTGGGCGGAGAGTCATTCTCTAACACATGCCTGGGCTGAGAGGGAAACTGAGGCTCAGGCAGCTTCCTCCACAGCCTCCAGGTCCCTTGGGGCTCAGGGCAGCCCCTACCCTCCCACTCTGCACACGTGCCACGCTGGAGCTCGTTCTCCTGGGCTCAGGGCCCAGGGACAGTTTAATTTCTGCCCGGCTTGGTGCCGCCTTCTCAAATCACAGAGTGGGGAGGGCTCGGGGATCTCGCTACCTTGGAGCCGCTTTTACCAGACGGATTTACGGCCGCACAGACGCGCTGTCCGGGCTGGCCCTGGCCGCCTCTCCAGGTGCCGGGAGGAGAGGGGAGGGCCACGGGCAGCCCCCTGGAGCAGTTTCACGGGCTGGGGGCTGCCGGGCGGTGGCAGGACGGGACCTGGCGCTCTGACCGCTGCGCGCCCCTCCCCCTGCACACTCGGCAACTCGCTTGGGAGCAGCAGGCAGGGACTCGCCCCGTGAGGGAGGCACAGACACGTGGAAACAGGCCCTGAAGCCCGACACTCACGTGGAGGCAAGACCACGGGCACGCACGGGTGGACCGTGAGAGACGGAGACCCGGGGGCACACGCTCGAATGCGCACGTGCGCTCTGCTGTGCTCACGTGCAGACTCACGCAGAGATGCACGCAGACACGTGCGCCCACACGTGGACGTGCATGTGCACACACAGACACACCCACACGCAGGCTGGCGCACGGCCTGGAAGGGCGGGGAAGTGGCTCTCCCTTTTGGATGAAGACAGGAGTCGCGGCAGGAGGCTGGGGCTCTGGCCTCGGGCCGAGGTGCCCTGCGCACCCAGGGCCACCAGGGTCTGCACACTCACCCCGACTTCCAGCTGCTCTGAGGGGGTGGAGTGGTGATCTGTGGGCCCCACAGCGTGTCCCTGCCTGGGGCCGAGGGAGCTCAGCCTGTGGGCTCCCAGACCACGCGGCCTGGAGAATGCTCTTCAGACCGGAAAGGGTCAGTGCGGGCTCTGTGCCCTCCGGGCCTGCTGGCTTAACATGCTTTGGAAAGTTGTCAGACTTACCCTCAGCTTGGAGCCTGTGACAGGTATTAGCTCTGTAAAGGTTCTGATAAGTCCTGCAGTAAGGACACCTTCTCCCCTCCCAGCTCTCCCCAAACCTGCTTGACGGCAGAGCCTTTTGTTGGGGGTGGATGGTGGTGTTACTCTATGCAACAGCCAGCAGAAACTGTGACCCATGAGTTCTCCTTCCCCCACCTTCCGTCCTCCAAATGGTCTTGGCTGTGACCCCAGGCCCTGGTCGAAGCCCAGCAGAGGGGGGAGAGGCAGTCCTGCGCTGGGCGGACGCCCGTCTGGTTTGCCAGGACCGGCGTGTCCCGTGATGGGGCTTTCAGGGCTAAAACCCAGGCAGTCCCGGGTAAAACAAGACAGTAGGCCACCCAGCCAGGGCCCCTGTCCCCCGGCTGGCCTAGACCCCGGGGCCAAGCTCTGGGGTCTCGTGTTTGCCTGAGGCTGCCCGGGCGCTGCCCCTGGCCCCGGCCCCACCTGCCCCTGCCTTTCAGAAGCCCGTGTGAACTGCTCCGCGCACCCGCTGCTGCTACAGAGCTCGCCCTCCTGCCCCAACCTCTACGCCAACTGGCTGGTCATCCTCCTGCTGGTCACCTTCCTGCTGGTCACCAACGTGCTGCTCATGAACCTGCTCATCGCCATGTTCAGGTGCCCCTCGTCCCAGGCTCCGGGCCCGC